CGGGTGAGGAGGCCGATTTCAAAGGCCTCTCTGGCGTCGCCCAGATACGCCGCCCGCATCCTGGGGGGACAGGCGCTGGCGCTGGTGTAGGACAGCAGGCACGTGCCCCGGATATTCTGGGAAAACACCAAACACAAAGGGCGACATGGAGTTGGAAACTGGAGGTGACACAGGAAAAATCTCTCATTCCCGGAGGACAGTGGTGAGAAATGCCGTGGAAAAGCAAACACTGTGATGTGGGACCCCAGGCGTGGGCCACAGGCACTCGGCAGAAAATACACAATCAAACGTTGGAGTAAGACCCTGAGGTCTTGTTGAGGCCAGTGTGGCTCAACAGTTGAGCGTCGACCTATGAACCAGGAGGTCAGAGCTCGATTCCTGGTCAGGGCACAGGCCCGGGTTTCGGGCTCCATTTCCAGTGGGGGGCGTGCAGGAGGCGGCCGACCACTGACTATCATTGATGTTTCTCTCCCTCTCTCCCTCCTCTCTGACATCCATGACATTATCTTATATAATAAAGAGGTGATATGCAAATTACCTCATGCCCTCACAAGATGGCTGCCTACGACCAGACCGGCAGGGGGCTTAGTGAGGGGTGACCAGGTCGGCAGGGGGTGCACTTGGGGGTGACCAGGTCGGCAGGGAGGGAGCAGAGAGGGTGACTAGGCCGGCGGGGGGTGGGTGCAGTTTGGAGCGACCAGGTCAACAGAGGGGGGCAGTTAGGGGCAACCAGGCCAGCATGCAGAGGCAGTAAGGGGCGATCAGGCAGGCAGGTAAGCGATTAGGAGCCAGTGATCCAGGATTGTGAGAGGGATGTCCGACTGCAGGATGTCAGCGCCCAGATTGGCGAGGGTGCAGGCTGGGCTGAGGGGGTGGATTTTGTGCACCGGATCTCTAGTATTTATATAAAAAAGGAACCTGAGGCCTTTCTGGTGACGGGGAGGAGGACCCGGAGGTCTGAGTGGCCGCTAAGAGCTGCCCACGAACCGCGCCTCCCGCAGCCTCAGACTCTGATTAAAGGTGTTACTTACATTTGTTGTTGCTGTTAGTTTCAGCAGAGTCCAAACGTGGGACATGAAAGTTTCTCTATGCAAATGAGGCTTCTGGGTTTAAACACTGTTCTTTCAATAATAGTCCACACGATAGGCTAGTGGCTTCCACACCCCTCCGTGCACTTCAGCCCCCTGGGTATTTCAAGAATCAGGGTTCGGGGAATCCCAGCAACTGGCACATACAGGGTTGAGGGAGGGGCCCGGGAAGGTGTGTTTTAAAAAGGCTCCTATGGCCTGGCCAGCATGCTCAGTAGTTAGACCGTCTGCCCGCACACGGAAGGGTCTCGGGGGCACGTACCTGGGTTTCAGGTTCGATCCCCAGCCCCAGTCGGGGCACATGCAGGAGGCAACCAATCCATGTGTCTCTCACATCGATGTTTCCCTCACTCTCTCCCTTCCACTCTCTAAAAATCAATGGGAAACATGTCCTCAGGTGAGGATTAACAATCAATCAATCAATCAATCAATCAATCAAACAACAGGCTGTGAGGGCCATTCCAGGTGCCGGGGACACTGCTCTGGAGCAGATGGCGTCGGGGCCTCCGGCTGGATTAAAGGAGCCCCCACCAGGATGGCACCACCCGCCCCATAGACCTCCCGCACAGTGTCCGACCGTGTTATCTGACCAGGCCCGCCCCTCCCGCCTCCTCACCATGGCCGTGAGCACGAAGAGGGGTGTGTAGGGGCTGAAGGCGGCGGCCAGCTTGCAGGCTTCGGCGGCCGACAGCAGGCGGTGGGCACAGTCCCGCGTCAGGCCCTGGGAGAGAGTGGGGGCCACGGGCCGTGCCCACGGTTGTTCATCCATCAGCCAAAGACAGACCGTGACCCCCCCCCAACTTCTCTTCCAGACTCCCCGGGATGCCCCAACCCCAAGCAAACTGTTTCAGAGCTGTGCCCAGAGAGGGACCACCCCCCCACACTGAGCTTCCCCCTAAAATTAACAGCCTGGCCGCGTGGGCAGGGCTCAGGTGCCCAGCAGCTTCCTCCCCACAGGCCCCCTGGAGGGACTCGGTCCACTTCGCAGCCACGTTAATGGCTGGCTTCCGAGTCATCCTCCGTGGAGAGCCCTTTCATTTACGGTCTCGTGGCAACAGGGCTCCCCATTCGTTCTAGAAACACATGCTGCGCGCTCTGTGCAGCAGGCTCTGTGTTAGGCACAGGGACCCGCAGGGAGCTGCCTGAGGGAGGGGATCAGACACCAGCGTAGGTAAGATGCTGGTGGTGAGGGCCCGGGGGCCGGGGCGACGTCAGAGGCCCCTTTCCTGGAGGAGGGACGGAGCCCCGCCCTGTGTGTCCGACAGCAAGAGCGGCAGCTACGATTCTGACTCTGGTCGCTGCCAACAGCCGTGTCCTCAGGCGGCACAGCGCTGGCGCCGTGACTGCCGTCACTCGGGACTTAAGGGAATTGGCAACATTGGGGATCGTATCCAAGTCTCACTTTCCGCCCGGCCGGCGTGGCTCCGTGGCTGAGCGTTGACCTATGAACCAGGTCAGGGTTCGATTCTTGGTCAGGGCACATGCCCGGGTTGTGGGCTTGATCCCCAGTAGGGGGCGTGCAGGAGGCAGCCGATCCATGATTCTCTCTCATCATTGTTTCTCTCTCTCTCTCCCTTCTTCTCTGAAATCGATAAAAACGTATTTAAAAAATCTGCATTCCCATGCAGGTCTCTGTCCCTGCGGGACCCTGCTCAGCCGGAGGCCCGCTCTGCCTCCTGGCGGCGGCCCATGCACACGCCTCGTGAGCAGACACGGCCTTCCTGAGCTGTGACCGCCTGTAACTGTTCGGAATCGTCCTTGCTGAGGGCAGGGGCTCCACGTGTGGACGACGATGATGAAAGTTTTAACGTTCCTGCCCCTTGAGGCGGCCCAGGTGTGGACACTGGATTTGGTGAACATTTGAAAGTGAGCGTAGGGGGTTCCAAGCGTGTATCACTGTGGGGAGGTCGCGGGTTCCCTCGCCCGTCGCTGTCCGAGGACAGACAGCGTGCCAGGGCTGGGACGATAGAGCGCCAGGTGGCGGGAAACTGGGAGCCCCATGTCCCGCCAGGGGGAGGCGCTGTCCCTCCCACCCCCAGTTCCCAGGCGGAGCACAGGGCAGACCGTCTACAGGGGCGGCCGCCTGGCACCGGGACTGGCAAGTGAGAGTCAAGCGACAGTTACCAAGGCCGCGTGGGGGTTGTTTTTGAACTTCTCGTAGTCGTGCTCGCTCATGGACACGAAGATGTCGGCCAGTATCCCCAGCGAGGTGGAGATGCCCTGGGGGGAAGCAGAATCCCGTCAGTGCAGCTCACGGCCGGCCAGGCCCTCCAGCCCTCGGCACGAACCATCACTCATTGTTACTGTCATTGTCATGGCCCTAGAAACGCTTTTGAATTGGATGCCAGAGGGACTGGCGACCGAGCCCTGGCCTCCTGAGGACAGGATCCAGCGGGGGCACACGGCTGGCTAGCGGGGCTCGGCTGGGTGTCCAGCAAGCGTGTCCGTACTGAGGCCTGGCCCGGGGTCAAGGCCCGTGCCTGCGAAGCTGCGGGCTTGCGGGTACGAGCCCAAGGGGAGCAAGCAGGAGTCCACACACGAGGCCTCGGGCAGGGACCCAGCCCTGCTCTCGCTTCCCGCGTGACAATGCCATGGAAACAGCGGACCCGTCTCTGCCCCGGTGACCTGAGCCCACGTGGGGTGACGCCCACACGCTGGTGACCTGAGAGGCGACACACGGAATCATGTGCAGGAGCGAACCAGCAGGACAAACAGGACAGGAGACACGTGCACGGCCCACCTTCCTGTCCGGCTGAGGAAGCGTCAGATACCCCACAATCGAGGCCCGGATTAGCTCCGCTGCTTCATACCACATCCCTGGAAAAGAGACACGGGCTAGGTCTATGCCCTCAGAGAGAGAACGCCTTGAAACCGACGGAAAGGAGCTTCCTCAGCTCCAGATAGACAAGAGTCAGATGGACAGGGGTTGGGTGGACAGGGGTTCAGTGGACAGGGGCCGGGTGTCAGGGGTCAGGTAGACGGGCCAGGTGGACATGAGACCCTGTACCTCGTGCAGGCGGGGGCATGGGGCAGGGCGTGGGGCGGGTAGAGGGGAGGAGGGGGCGCACCCAGCTTCTGCAGGATCTGCCCTCGGATCTGCACGCAGACGGACTGCACCAGGACCCGGTCGCTCTCGTGTCTGTACAGCCAGGAGCCTGCGGTAAATGAGGCCTCGAATCAGGACAGGGATGCGTGAAACCCCACTGCCCATGGCGGCCCCGGAGCCCTCAGGACACAGATGCAGAGGCCCCTCATCTGCACGCGGACCCCCCCGCCTCCGTCCCCGCTGAGAGGGGATGTTCTGTGCGGGACCCACTTCCCTGGCTCCGAGGGGACCGGCTGCTTCCCCTCCCCGGCCTCAGCGCAGTCCTGTTGCTGCAGGGCCGCGGGAGAGTTCGCCCCCAGCGACGCCCGTGGCCGTGGGGTGTCCTGAGCGAGGCGGGCGGGTCCCGTCCACCCAAACATGCACCGGAGGCAGGGAAGGGCCAGGACTCCCACGCGAGCCTGTCTGAGAGCACGGCAGGGCCACGCTGCCACGGGGCTGGAGCGGGGCAGTGTGAGTGGCGGTGGTTTCTCCTGTGAGGAGTGTGAGGCTGGGGAAAGGCCCTGCACGCTGAGGTTCACGGATGAGCAAAGCGGGGTGGGGGGGGGCAGGTGTGGACGCCGCCCACTCAGACCCACTGGGACACCCTCCTCACTAGTCTGTCATGTCACCTCTATGTTCACCCAGCTTCTAATCCCCGTGTGTGACTGTGTGTGCACGTGTGCGTGCGTGGGGGTACGCGTGCATGTATACATGTGTGTCTCTCTGTACGCAAGGCATATGTGCATGTGTGGGCGCATGCACGCACACGCACACACGCGTGAACACGCACACACATGCGTGGACATGTGTGCATGTATACACACGTGTTCTCTGTGTGCAGACGTGTGCGGGCACGTGGGCATGTGTGCAGGTGGGTCTCTCTGTGCAGGCATGTGTGCATGTGCATGGACATGTATGCAGGTGCATACATGTGTCTCTCTGTGTGGGCACATGCACATGTGTGTCGGTGCAGGCACATGTGTGCATGTACACTCGTGTCTCTCTGTGGGGGCGCATGCACACATGTGTCTGTGCAGGTGTGTGTGTGGGCCCGTGTGCATGTGTACACGTGTCTCTGTGCGTGCAGTGAGATGAGAAACGTGCATGCTGCATGCTGGTGAGGGTGGCCACACTGAGGGGTGTGGGGTCAGTGTTTGTACATCACACTGCCTCTCGCTGGGAACATCCGCCAGTTCGAAGGCTCTGGGCTCCAGGCCGAGCAGACTGAGTGGAAACTGCTGCGAATTGTCGTCGACTCGCTGGACACTTGCTGGCCAGATTCAGACCAGCGTCCGAAGGCTTCAGCGACTTGTGTCCCAGCCCTGGGACTTACTTGCTTTCATGTGGGATTCAGTATCCGCCCTGGCCCGGCGCTCAGTTGGTTGGAGTGTCATCCCATCACCCCAAAAGGTTGTGGGTTTGATTCTGGTCAGGAGACATGCCCAGGCTGTGGGTTCGATCCCCGTCTGGGCGTGTGCAGGAGGCAACCTGATCGATGCTTCTCTCTCACGTTGATTTTTTTTTCTCCCCCTTCCTCTCTCCCTACAATCAATTTAAAGAACTTATCTGCCGGGAGCCGGTCCATCTTTGCTGTTTCAAGGGACCTGGCATATATGGCATACTGTTCTTAATATGTTTGCTCACCTTCTTGGCACTATGTGTTTTAACCAAGGTCACCTCTCCGAGAAAGGTTGTTTCCCCAGGTAGGGATTTTCCCCTGAAGTTAGGGAGGGGATAAAACCCCTTAACTC